TTATTCAGAGTTTGGATAGGTTGATTCTATGTTTGGGTTGTTTATGGATCCGATTAAAGAAGATCAGATTGGTTATTGAGAAAGGCCCATATCTCTCTCTCTCTCTCTCTCTCTCTCTCTTCTAGTTTTGCTTTGGGCTTTCCTTCTTTTGTTGGATAGTGGAGATGTGATCTGAAAAATGGGAGAGTCTGAAAAATGAAAAATGTGATCTGAAAAACACATGATCAATTTTGTGTTTACCCTTTTGACAGATAAATTGGACAAATAAAAATTACCAAGGCAAAAATTTCAACAGATAGAAATTATAGATAGAAATTTCACAGAAACAGAATTTTAACAGATACGAAATTTACACCAAAAGAATAAAAATTTCAGCCGACAAGGGAAAAAAATAAAACAAATAGATAGTAAAAAAAAGTTAACAGATAAATTAAAGAGTAAAATTGAAAATAAAATATTCTTTAAAACAATAAAATGTCTCGTTATAATGTTTTACAAATGATGAATTTCTCACTAAAGAAAAATAATCATAAGACCTAATGCATTGTACTCTCTCTAAATTGAATTTCTCAATAATTTTCTCTTAAATAAATGCAATCTAACCCATTTATGAAGTGACAAAAATTATCTGCTGAAATTCAAAATAATTTGCTACTTACTCCTAGTGCAAAACAATTTAAATTTATCTTTTCAAAACTTTTCAATATATTAATATTGGACAAAAATAAAAATAAAAATAAAAATAAAAAAACTAATCGTTGAATTACGTATTTTGTCCCATGCTAAACATGCACACCAAGTTCAGGCCCATCATCAGCAATTGAAAACTATCTCAACCATATATTCACAATTTATTTTTATAATATAACATATTTTAGACGCTCTTTGATATCTAATTGACCTAAATATTGGTATGCTATGTTATCATATAATTAGTTTTGTAAAATATGATATTACAAATATATATATATATATATGATATTTATCCTAACCACTAAAAAGTATTATTGTTTTCAAAATAGCACGTGGTTGTGTATGCAACCAATAGTATTTTGTTTTTTATATATTTTTTTATTTTTTTTAAACCATGTAAGTACCAAAAAAAAATTATATTAGGTAGGGGTATAAATGAACCAAAAGCTCGAGCTCGACTCGTGTTCGGTTTGTTAAAAATTCGTTCAAACTTAGTTTGTTAAATAAACAAGTCAAGTTTGAACACATTTTAGAACTCGTTAAAATTTTCAAACCAAGCTTGAACAATCAATTGATTATTCGACTCGGTTTAATAAGCCTAAAATTATATAAAATATCAAATTCCTTGAACTTGACCTGATTCATCCGAAATCGACTCAAAAGTTTAACGAATCCAATTTAAATAAGTTTTAAAACTCGTTAAAATTATTAAATCAAACTTGAAGAGTTAACTGTTCAGTTCGTTCAGTTAATTTATCATCCATTATGGGGGACACTGCAGTTCAAGAAAACTAGATAATCATTCCAAAATAATAATAAACTCTAGGCTCAGCCCGATCTAGCCCATGAAGTAAAATACTAACTCACGTACATAAGATATAAGGTATATATCATCGATTTTTATCACTTCGTTATTACACTACCCAACAAGATATAATATGCCTCCTCCTTTTTTAGCAATGCTACATTCATACAAAATTCTCACTCACAAATCCTCCTCCCCCTTAATAACGGGACAAGATTGACTGGAAGATTTTGAAAAAAGAAAGGAGTGTAAAAACTTGAGTTATTAATTTATCTTTTTATTATCACATCATTCAGGATTAAGGGTCACTGCTGTGCTAAAGACACAGCACCCTTAATCCCATCATTCAAGGGGGATTGTGGGAGAGAAATTGTGTAGATGAAACTTTTTTTTCTTTGTATAATTACTTCCAAATATGAAACCAATCACAAGCATTTAATTAGGTGGTGACATAACAAAAATCCATTGACATAAAAACAAATTTGTTCCTTTTTTTATTTAGCTGACTAGAATATAGAAGATAAAAAAGAATGAAAACTATTTAAGATTAACATGCAAGGCAAGCAACCGAAATGGCATTATTTGATATTTATATCATTTTCTATATATATATATATATATATCGACTTTTAACAATTATTTTTTAATAAAAAAAATGAGAATAGTAAGTTAAAAACTCGTCAGTATTCGTAGAGCTTGAAACAAAAAATATGATACAATATAAAAGTAACTTGTGAATGATATCAATGTATTCTATTTTTATATGTATATACGTATATCTAATAGAAGTTGTGGCACATACTATATGTGTGCAGAAACTAAAAGCAGTTGTAATCGTCATATGAAATGTGAGCTTTGCTTAGTTAATCGTATTAGGAGCGGATATTACAAGATTATCCTCATTTGATAAAGAAAAACAAATGCGATCAAATCTTTTATAGAGAACAAAAAAAAGCGTGACAAAAGTTCAAAAAAGGGTTCACACCAAATTGATGTGTTGACATAATTATATGTACAACTTCGAAAATGAAAGGAAAAGCCTCCACAAAGAGAGGAGTCGAACCCCTTAACCTAATAATGAGATACAAGTATTCTTGGCCATCTGAACTAATCATACAATTGTTGCCTTCTCCTGTATTTCAATCAACTTACAATCCATCCTGAAAATTTCCTTTGGGTGAATTAGACATGAACTTATAGTCAAGAAGGTACCTCGCAGCCAATGAAGCATGCAATGCAGCACCATATGAAAGCACATCTTCAATCACTGTGAAGAATGGGGTCGAAGCATATCTTTAGCGACATTGAAGTAGTATTTGAATTTAATGGTTGCATTGCATCTTTGTGCAGCTGCTTGTCCTCTCATAAATAACCCGACACTTGCATGAGATTTTAACATACTCAATGTAAGCCCGAATGATTTTGATTTTTGGAAATTTTGCGCGGTTTTACCTCTTCAATTCAATGTTTAAGTTGCGCCAAACTTTCTTTTGAACATGCCCTGAAAGTGCTGCCTTCGAACTTGGCCACTGACACTACCTGCAAGATCATGATATTCTAATCATAAATTTTTACGAAAGAAACAAATATCCACTAATGTAATGGTTTAAATTTCAACAAAAATGACAAGCACAAACCATGCTGTGAGCGAGAGTGTTGTGTACTGAGTACAGCCATTTTTAACACAAATGATAAGCACAAAGTCATCTCTGATGCAAGAAAATTTTGCAAACTGCAATATTTCTTACCATATGCCAGCTATAATAACGACATATACCCATCAAAAAAGCTTTGAAACTTTAACTGTGTGAACCTTACACTACAAGAAATGTCATTTTTGGCTACCAAAATATTGGTCGCCAAAAGTCCAAAATTTGGTCGCCGAAACCATTTAGCGACCAAAATTTTTTGTTGCTAAGCTCGTCGCCTTTACCCTGTCGGCGATAGTATTGGCGACTAAAATTTATTTGGTCGCCGAAAGTGTACACATTTGGCTACTAATCTTAGTTTAGTCGGGAAAAGGTATGTTTCTGCCACTAAAGTATTAGTCGCCGAATGTGACTTTTGGCTACTAACATTCATTTGGTCGGCGAATGTGTTACTTTTTGCTACGAAAGAATTAGTCACCGAAAGTTAACATTTGGCTACGAATCCATACTTAGTCGGCAATAGTGACATTTCGGCTACTAATTTTTTAGTCACTAAAAGTTCTACATGAAAATTTAACCAACTATTCATTACTTTTTGCTACCAAATGTTTTAGTCGCCAAATGTTTTTGCTACTAAATTATTAGTAGCCAAATAATTCCAACTATGTATTTGGCTACCAAAATATTTGGTGGCCAAATATTTTCTGTTTTTTTTTTTTTCCAAAAAAATTCTAAACAACCTACATCCATGTTTAATACAACCTGTACGTACATAACACAGGATTCAATATAACCCAATATAACCCATCAACGTTAAATATATTATCAAGCATTCAACAACGTGCACACATTCTAGTTCCAACCATCCAAAACATTAAAAATAAACGTCCAATTCTATATATAATACAAATTCCATACGAACCAAGTCTAATCCAACGTCAATAATTTCATTTCATACATAATACAAGACTAACCAAATTAATTTCCAAAAAAGACATATGTACCACAATATGTCCTAACTTAAACTTGTTTGTCAGAATCTGTCTTTTACATACATATTTTAAGAAGATTATATGAAGGCTTATAAATACTAGACTAGGCACAAGTGCAAAAAAATAGTGAATGTTTCGATTTCTCTCAGCATTATCAAACCAAAATTTTCACTTTTCGTCATTTATTCATTTTGGGAAATTTATTCAGAAGTCCCATCCTAGAAAAGTGTATGCCGGATTGTTCTATAAATTTTCTTGTAAACTATTAGGTCCCATTGAATTTGAAAACGCATATCATGAGGTCCTTTTACTATATTTCTTAGAGACAACAAATGTGGATATATTTTTATTTGTGCACTATTGTTTTTAAACTTTTGCAAAATATATCATTCTTAAAATGTGACAATGCAATCTATTGTCTTATTAAACTTTTGTCAAATGTATCATTCTTAAAATGTGATAATGAAACATCAGTCTAATGTGTATACTAATGTCTTATTAAACTTTTGTTCAATGTGTTATTCTTCTTAAAATGTGACAAATGGGATATTTGTGCACTATTGTCTTATAAAACTTTTGTCAAATGTATCATTCTTGAAGTGTGGCAATGGGATATCATTCTAATGTGTGCATTATTGCCTCATTACATTTTCAAATGTGGGTATGCTTAATTTGGAAGATTTTAATGTGAGAAATGACTTATGTAGGTTCATAAGATTATTTATGGGACTACGATCCACATGGAGGGTGTGTTTTGCGTGGGTCCTGGGATTAGTCAAGATGTGTGTAAGCTAATCCGAACACCCCCGGTCATATATATATATATATATATATATTTATTTATTTATTGATTTTTTTATGACAAAGTGAACTCAAAGAAAATGAGCAGTAAGGAAATGAAGTCCTGTATGGGAGTAGTTTTGTCTAGGACATGCTTCTTTATTCTTCTAATAAGGAAATGAGCAGTACCTTCAAAGAAAAACATAGAACAAGGTTTTTCAAAAATAAAGAAGCTCGGCACAGATAAGTGAGTAGACAGTGGAGCATGAAGCGTGAAGACGATTCACTAATATATTATCAGCAACTGTGAAGACGATTCACTAATGCCATGTTCATCTGGCTTCAAAGACAATGGAGCATGAAGCGTCAGTTTTGGCAATACCTTTCAACTTAACAAGCTCATATCAATGGCTATAGAAGAGAAGCAAAGAAATTCAGTTATATACATATATATATATATATTCACACATATATATGACACAGTTATACATACCCAAATTACTGCTATGCAGGACTTCAAATATAGTAGAACTAGCGTAGTTAGAAATTTCATTCAATGGGATCATTAAAAAAGTTGAGTAGAGAATTTTATGACATAATTTTAATTCTACACATACCTCAAGTAATGGGGAACACCACATTGGTGAAACAGTTGGAGGAGTTGCTATTGCCTTTTCCAACATTTCTGATAAAAATTCACTAATGTTTCATTACATTCATGAATTTAAATGCATGCAATTCAACAGAATTAACAGTACCAAATGAAGCTAGCTTACCCAAACAACAAAATTAACGAGTTTTAGAACATGTTCACCAATATCTATTACATCCACTACCACTTCCAGAAAGAAGGGTGATTCTGGAATCAAACAACAGTCCACATCTCGGCTGGCAAGTGTAGCATACATTGCAATGAAGCCTGCACCAGTAAATCTGAGAAAAATGAAGGAAAGTCTGGATAATGCCAGTGAAGCTAATCTAAAAAGGAAAAGCATTGATGAAATTATTAGATTGAGTTAAAGTTTAAAACTACGAAAAATCATACATTCAAAATCTCTGGAAGTTTTTATTTGGTTCATTTATTTTGATTGCTTCCAAGCTATGAGCAAATTTTATTAAGCAAGCAAAAGAATGTTCATATGTTGTAGCACCAAGAGGTATATTCATCTTGATTTGTGACTCTAAAGCTTGTTTTGCAATAGCAAGATGCAGAAACCTAAATTAAATGATGCTTTGAAGGAAATGTAGACAACAAAACACTAAATAAAAGTTTGCATAGCAGCCCAGTTGGCATCGGAGCATGCAAAGATGGTCAACGGTCCCGGAGTGACCATCAGGCCAAACTGCATAGTTAGATATCTAATTATCTGTAATTTAGCCATGCAGTTATGACCACTGAAACATATGGGAGTCAACCTTACCACTGTAGCGGCCCATTAGCTTCACTACACCAACACCATTCTCAACACTCTCAGCTTCAACATGCGCAGCATTGATGGCTTGCTGAGCTTCCTCAACAGCAGTATCAAAGCCAAATGACCTGTCAATGACCTGAATGAAAACAAAAACAGATGCAAATATTGTTATAAAAGATTATACAACTCTTTAGAAAACAATCAAAATTCAATTTAATTTAGAAACAATAGCAATATATAAGCCAAAGGGCTTTTGTAGTTTTCTTTTATTTGACCAAATGAAAGAGCTCCAACATGAAAGCATTTGAGTGTCAATTCATGGTTTTCACAAATGATGGGGAATGAATTTCATTCAGCAACAATTCACATATTCACACATATTTAGCATAAAATTAAGTCTTGTTTTTTATGAAAAAAATGGGAAAATTGCACTTCAGCGCATGTTCTAAAAAAAATACAAATTGGTGGTAACTTTATCAACTTCAATAATTAAAGTTATAAACTTTTTGATGAATTTTTAAATATTTTGTGAAGACACCACTTATTTGCAATTTTCCCAAAAAATAATCTTCCAACTCTGGAAATAAAAGCACCTAATGAGCTGCTTGGGATTGTTTTTAAATCCAATAACAAATGCTTAGAAAAACCATGTACGACTTACAATTCCAGCCTGCTTGGGGCCCTCTCATGTTAAATTTTTGGGCAAATTACATATACACCCCTCGAGGTTTGGCTAAATTACAAATACCCCCCTGAGGTTTGAGAAATTACGAATTCCCCCCTGAATGCTATATATTTGCAATTTTCCCAACAAATAATCTTCCAACTCTGGAAATAAAGGCACCTAATGCGCTGCTTAGGATTGTTTTTAAATCCAATAACAAATGCTTAGAAAAACCATGTACAACTTACAATTCTAGCCTGCTTGGGGCCCTCTCATGTTAAATTTTTATTTTTATTTTTTTTAAATGATAATTTAACGCATGAGAGAAGTTGTTAAGTTTTTGACTCGTTTCACCTTTGCCTATTCTGGGATCAATGTTTACAAACATAAAGCATTAAGTGAATTAGACAAAAGGATTGGGTCAAGGGTAACCGCTCAACAAGGACCATAGGATTTGAACCACAAAGATTAGCCGTTTATTATTTATTTTGCTAGAAACAACAAGACCACAACAAAAATAAACTCTCCTAAAATCATCAGCCATTAATTTCCTTATTGCCCCAATGAACTAGACAACCAAGTATAGAACTCTGTGCAGCAGCTATTACTATTAATAATGCACAATAATCACCATTTTTTTTATAAGCAATAAATAACAACTACCCTTATACCAAGATCAATGTTCAACAATATGACATACCAACATGAATTAATTTGACACACTGTTACAAATAACAATTAATCTCAATCAAATTCACAAAAACCCAGAGCTAAAAATTCATACTCTGCACATTCAAATTATCAATATTAGAGACCAAGAAATAGAGAAGGGAGGAAAGGCCACAAGAAAAAAATAAACAAATAAAAAGCGCCATACAAATTTTGACAAAGACGAATATTAGTTTTACATTTCTGAAATCCAAAACATAAGATTCAGAGTTTCCTTTCCTGTTGTTTAGGCTCTCTCTCAACAACCAAAAAAAATATAGAATTTAGGCAATGATTGAACAAAAGGTGCAAGTAGAAAACGAATCATTTTAACACAAAGCTGAGAGGCATTGAGGCATCAAGGTCAGTTTAGGGGCAGAGTTGTTCCCAAAAATTTTGTTCTGTACAGATCTAAAAACAGTCTTGTTCTAAAGGTGCATCTGCCTTGGAATGTTGTAATTCCTGCAAACAGGTGGGACTGTTAGCATAAAATTAAGCTCGGCCCAAGTTTGTTTTTACTGTGGAGTACCTAAACACATGGATAAATGCCTTTAACATGTGTTAAGGGCTCTATGGTTGGAATCATTTATAGAAATTTCAGCCACTTGGCTAAAGAAATATACTAGTCATGGCTATAATTTTCAGTGGGGAGCAGAGCATCATCAGTGGGGAGCCTCAAATCATCCTTGGTGTTTCCATTTTCAGTCAAAAGACTCACCTAAACAAAATGCAAATTTCAGTTGCCATTGTGACATTTTGTCGAGCACCTTGCAGACACAAAAAGTATATAGCATGATTCATCTTTGCTATACACAGAGAAACTATACAGATGAGAGAAAAAACAATCCAAAATCAGCAAATAAAGATCAAACCATTTCAGAACTAAATTCAAAACTAATTCACTCATCAGATCAGAGAAGAACCAGATTTCAGAAAAATAGAGAGAGAAATGGAAGTTTTCTTACCTGTGATAATGGTGGCCCAGAGATCCTTGGTCGATCTAGAGATAATTTCAGAGAGATCAAAGAGGAAGGGCTGAGTCGATCAAAGTGGAATCGCATACGCAGTGACGGTGGTGCTCGTGTGCGATGGCAGTGATGCTCCCGTACCCGACGACGATGGAGACAAAGGCGAGAGAGAGAGCTGGAGGAGGGCAGAGGCGTGAGAGAGTGAGAAAGAGAGAGAGAAAAGAAAGAAGTAATAAAGTTTAACTCGACAGTTGAACCGAAATCCAACCATGACGTCATAAATATATTAAAATTTATATTTAAATAAAAATATAAGTAATAAAATTATAAATTAAAAAAAAGGCAAAAATTAAATTATCTTAAATATTTGTCCTAATATTTTTTGTACTGAAAAATATAATAATATATTTTAAAATTTTATATTCTTATATTTTCTTATATTCTTATATTTTATATATATATATATATATAAAATAAGAAATAAAAGAAGGAAAGAAAATTTAAAAAAAAGAAAGAAAAAATTTTTAATAAAAAATTATGAGCCAGCTCAACCCGTGTTTTTTTTTGGGGGGGGACTCCTGCATGACTAACTAGGCACTAATCAATTTTTTAGAATTTTAGAACATGCAATATGTATATTTTCTCATAGGTAAAGACAGATGAAGAAATCATGTGTCAAGTGGATTTAATTAATTTATTATTCAGTTGTAACTAGCAGTCAAAATCAGTTTCTCAAGCATATCTTTGCAGTCAAAATCATTAACGCATAACTAAAAAATATATACGCAAAGCCCCAGCTTAGGCCTTCAGTTCAATTAGCATTAAATCGCCAATTACTTTTATAGATCTCTCAAATTTAAAAAAAAAATATATCTAAATTAAGTGAATTAAGTGAGTACTTATTTTGTATTTTAAAAAAATCACAAATATTTTCTTTTTTAAATATATCTAAATTAAGTGAGTCTAAAAAATAAACAAATTTGCTTAAAATATTTAAAAAAGTTGAAAAAATTAATTATTAAAAAATTAAGAAAAATTTTAAAATCTGAAATAATATCAATAAGTCTTACAAATCAGATTTATTTACTTATAAGTCATGAGTGAATTTTTTTTACACACTTAAGCCCTCGCAAAAAGTGTGAATTTTTTTTTAAAATCTGAAATAATATCAATAAGTCTTACAAATCAGATTTATTTACTTATAAGTGATGAGTGAATTTTTTTTACACACTTAGCCCTCGTTTTGATAATGATATTGAAAAATTGAAAATTTTATTTAAATGAAAAAATATTCATTACAAAAAATATTCATTACATTTTAATAATATTAATTTTTCATTACAACCCTACAGAAATTACCATTACCTAAAGGAACACTTTACCATTATTAAACAATCGGCTACCAAAATATTTAGTAGCCAAAAGTAGGTCTTTGGCGACTAAAAAGTTATTTAGTCGGTGAATCCCCTGTTTTTGGCGACCAAAATTTTGGTCGCCAAAGGTATTTTATAATTTTTTTATTTTCATTCGGCTACCAAACTATTTAGTAGCCAAAAGTAGTCCTTTGGCGACTAAAACGTAATTTAGTCGGTGAATCCCGTGTTTTTGGCGACCAAAATTTTGGTCGCCAAAGGTATTTTATAATTTTTTTATTTTCATTCGGCTACCAAACTATTTAGTAGCCAAAAGTAGGTCTTTGGCGACTAAAAATTCTTTTAGTCGCCAATTGTAATATGTTTAGCTACTAAAAAATTTTTTAGTCGCCAATTGTATTTTTTTTAGCTACTAAATTTTTTTTTGTCGCCAATAATCAACATTCCCCTACTAAAAAAAATTAGTAGCTGAAATGTTGACTTTTGCCGACTAAAATTCATTTTGGTAGCCAATTCCCACACTTTTGGCGACTAAATTTATTTTGGTAGCCAAAAATGGTCGACAAAAATGTATTTTCTTGTAGTGTAAGGTTATACAAACAAAAAACTAATAATTATAAACTATACCTTTACTTCAAACTTTCACCAGAATTTCTCTATGTTTCATCATACTTCAATTTGTGTTTTAATGTGATTCTTCTATAATTTATCGATAAAAATTTAAAATGTGCTCAATTGAGTACATTTTAAGGGTATTAAAGAAATTGCATTTTTTACCTCTTAATTTTTATTTAAATTTCACTTTAGTCACTCGAATTTTTTATGGTAGGATGCACTGCTGGAAAAATGACTTTTAGCGGCGTTTTAAAAACGCCGCTATATGTATGAAAAACGCCTCTAATTCCTTTAGTGACGCTTATCACCAAATGTCGAGGACGCGGCCGTCGCTATAAGTTTATGACGCTTTAAAAACGTCGTAAAATTAGTATAGGCGGCGTTTTTAAAAACGCCGCTAAATGCGATAAATAATGATAAAATGACGTCATCCAATATTTAGCGACGTTTTTAAAACGCCGTGATAGATTTTTTTATTTTAAAAAAATGTCCGTTGGCACTGTAGTGGCGTTTTGAAAAAACGCCGTTATAGCTCTTTTTTAAAAAAAAAAAATTGTTCTGAATCTGTTATATTTAACTAAAAAACATACCTGTAATAAAGCTGAAAAATAACAATAATATGAATAAAATTTTACAGCTACTTCAATATATTGACTAAATAAACATTACATGAATATAATCACTTTTACAACTCACCCTGAACAAGGTAAGCTACGGCACAGGCTTTCGGCGGAAGGG